AACCCAACCGGAAACGCAAGCGGAAGTTGAAACGGAAGCGAAATCCCGAGTGGAAGCGCAAACGGAAACAAATGAGGTCAGAAGTGGAAGTGCAGCTCACCCACTGTTGCCGAAAGTGGGGATTACAAGGCTTGAGCTCTTGAACTTGCCGGGGTCCGCATGCGCAGATACAACCCTGAAGCTCAGGAAGCTCACCCATGGGGTTGGGCAGTTGAGATTGTCAGCAAGAGCTGACTACGAGAAGCATCGCATCCCAAGCGAAGCACAGATAGGCGTAGAAGCAAGCTTCAACATTCCTGTGGCGAGCCAGTGCAATCGTGGACCATACCCAAACCTCCTCTTGCAGGGGAGCACGAGCTGCTTCCCGAAGTTGGGTTAGATGTTCAGAGACCCACTGCCTATGTGCCTCCACACGACTTTCATGGCACAGAATACAGAGGAAAAAAGGCTTTACTTCGATAACAGACTGTTTCCCGCGGGAAATGCAGTTCTATCATTCTATCATTCTTGGAAACAGATCCTCTCACTGGACAGGTGCTGTTTCTTTGCCAAGCCCATGTTCGTGGACTCCTTGGTGCAGGCGGCAAACACACTCGGGGCCTTGTGGTGTGCGTGAGAATGCCGTGCATCGGTCGGAAGGTGAACAGCCTCGTGCGGGAAGTGGAAGAAGTGAAGGCTCCTCGGCTCGGGTTCTCCGTGGACAACAACAGGTTCCAGGAGAACCCCAGTATGCCACCAGGTTGTGCACGTTGACCAGAACTACTACACCATTCAGGCACTCGCTGTTGTCATGCTGGCCGAATGCGAGTGATTTGACCAACACGACCCCCTTTACATTCTCGTCTGCATGATGCTGCTCAGGAGTTCATGGACAAGCAGCAGCAGATCCGTGCCAGTCCGGCACCGCACTCATTGGTTCCAGTTAATTGATTGCTTTGTTTTGCGACCAGGTGTCCAAACTTGCTATCCGACGTGTCCGGTAGTTTCATTGATCAAGGTCAATAGTGCGCAGAAGGACTTCGAGCAAAAGCACGAATCTGCCGCCGCTTGGTTTTTCTCCAGCCTTTGGTAGCAGCAAAGCATGAACGATTTCTGCTCGTGGGTATCCATTACGGTGAGATGATGTGAGCATGTAGGTGATTGTTGAAGAGTGAGACCCGTGAATCCAAGATTGGCATCATCGATCGACTGATCACGACGGTGCAGTGCTCCCTGCAGATTGAGCCAAGCGTTGTGTCGACCTCAGTCTGTCCTCTCCAGTCCTCGTATCGAATTTGCAGCAAGAGACAGACTGAGTGATTTCAGCCTACGAGGACCAGCTATCCGGCAACAAGCCTGACACCAATCCTTGAGCCCGCAGATCTGCAGAGCCCCGTAGCCCTGTAGCGCCTCAGGTCGACGTCCATGGTACAAGAGAAGGAAGAGGCCACTGAATGCGAGCGAATCTGACGAGTGCATGCTTCTTGGAACCCGATCCGAAGGCTCGTGAGAAAGCACGTCTTCAGCGCATTGCCAAACGGGACGAAGACATGCTAGGCTGGATTCCAAGTCTTCCTTTGGTTGCCTCACCATGCTGGTGCAATTAGTTGGAGGTGACTGCATCCGGTTGATTGACTACATGTTCCAGGCTCGTGAGAGGCTCTTGGGTGGTGCTGCAGCGACCCGGGCAGAAGATCCGGAGGCTGCACTTGTGCAAACCGTGATCGAAGCCGTGAAGCAGTTCTGGAATCGCTTGGACCAGAAGGCAGAGAGCTTTGTCACCTGGGCCTCTGCGAGTAGCAAGAGTGGGGTAGCGCCCGAGGGCTTCGAAACCGGGTTATGCTAGAAATAGAAGAGATCGCAGTCGGGAGAGCAGGGCTTTCGACCGCAAAAACACGTCTCCTTTTGGCAGAACGTGCCGAAGCTTTTCGTGACGTCCGTGGACATGTCGGATCAGGCCTGGAGGGTGCTTGCAATTGTGACTCGGGCGGCAGAACCTTCGATGTGAGAGGGCATCACGCTGGATCCCGGAAAGCACGATTTCGTGGAGATGCTCTTCATGTCTGTGACTCATACGGCCTAGGGCAGGTCTTGCTGCACGTACGATGTCGTGAGATGTCGTGAGTTAGAATTGTGGAGACGCAAACACTGCAGGGTTTCTGATGGCTGGTTCCAGACGCTGAACCTCTTACAGTCGATGACTTGTGTGCGACAGTCCCTGCCTTACCAGCTTTTGCATACGCAGTGGACCGGGGTCCAGACTGAATTTGCAGACCTTGACAGGTATGATCAGTTTTGCCGCGTGCAGAACCATCAGACAGTGAAGGAGCTGCTGCTTTCTGGTTTTTGTTGATGAGGTTGCTGTTTTCAGAGGTGCGGTGAGGTGCACAACCTGATACCTTTGGGACCGACTCGTGACTGGTGATCGCAGTCTCGATGGAAGGGTGAAAGGGGCACGGGACAGCGACAGATCCAAGGGTCCCCCTGTTCATCTGTACTCTGATGGCTATAGCTTCGCTGCCTCTGAGTAAGCAAAACAACACCTGACTTCGCATGGCGGGCAACTCAAAACCTCATAGCTGTCAGCCGGAGGGATGTACTGACCAAGGGAATTTTCACACGTCTGCACTCTCCCTATGGCATGTGATCGTTTTTTGGCGGTGTTTTTTCGGTGGATGTCTGTCACTCACAATTCGATTTGGGTGTGCTGCGTCTTGCCAGGACATTCTGATGAAAGATCGAACCTATTTGGGACAGCTGCATGCAGACACTGTCAGTCGATTTCAGATTGAATTTAAAGATGTGCTTGCAATGTCACTGACCTTCGCGAGGATACCAGGCGAGCATTCAAGACTACATCACAAGTGCCATTGAGGACACGCAGGTGACTGTTCTTTGCGGTGATTGTGCAGCAAGGATGCGCTCATTCATGAGAGTTCCAAGAGCCAGGCATCTGCCAACCTCATGTACGAGCCTTTCCGGCCCATCTACGAGTGCTGCACGCTTGTTTGCAGTTACATGTGACATCTGACTGCATCGATGAGCACTGCGCAATCTTGCCGTCATGCTTCGCCAGGTTTGGCAAGACTTGGGATGAAGAAGCTTTCAACGACAAGGTACTGCGACGCAAGAGCCAGTCAGACAAGTTTCACATGTTGAAGAATCCGGAAAGTATTCAGGAGCATGACTATGATGCGTTATATGATCAGATGTCCAAGATGAGGGAGTCTTCCTCTCAGCATGGCTTTTGATGTAGTTGCTAACGCATGGCGTGCAACTTACGACGCCCAGGTTTCAACATGATCTCGACCGGTTCAAGCTTAGCCCGGCCTTTCTTGCCTGCTTCTCCACTCTGCCACGTCACGCGATGTTTCTGAGCCCATGGACTTCGCCAGATTTGTGGCATCATTCTTGTCAACGGCAAGATCCTGAAAGACAGATTGACACCCATCCCAGAGGCCAGCTTAGTGCCAGGTAGAAGAGCAGATGTGCCTCTGACTTCTGGGAGGCTACATTGAACTGCGTGAAAAACTGCCTCATCGGCCTAGCCCGGGACAAGTGCAAGGCCGCAGTTTGACTGCTGATTTTACGGGGTGAGTTAGCTTGCAGACCCCAGTGGTCCATGCAGGAGTGCTACAGTCGCTACGACTCAGTCTGCCTCCAAGCTGCTTGCACTTCTTGGGACGGCATCATGGACGCGCGCGGTTGAGCATATCCTGGCGGTCTGATTGCACTTCTGCAGCTGCATCGTGGAAGGTCAACAAGCTCCTGGAAGAAAGGTCGAAGGATCTGGGCAAGTTCGCAAATTATGCGGTCCACTTAGGAGTGCCATGTCAATTCGCCGAGCTGCATCTAACCACAGTCTGTCTATTGATCATGTAGCACCAGGTGAAGATGTACCACAACGTCCAAGATGCCAGATACTCGGGGAGCAGAAGAAAAGTAGTGTTTGGGAGGAGCCATCAGCCAAGGAGAGGCCGGAGATGGAAGACCTCATGTTCGAGGTTGAGCAGATGTATTCCCTGCTAAGGCAGATCTCGTGGCATGCTCTCCTCTGGGATGATGTGTCATCTGCCAGGGAGTACAAGGTAAGGATGCCCGGCGACGACGAAGTTGTCTATGAGGGTCTGAAGGCGAAGGACTGGGTCTGCCAGCCCAGGAGGTGAGTCTGACCGAGGAAAAAGCCGAGTATGATGGGCAGGAGAGCGATTTCACCAACAAGAAGATGATTGAAGCCAGCCAGTTCATTGCCGAGATGAAAGAGGCCCAGCCATTCCAGCTTCCTGCTGCTACTCGACCAACGTGGGGCCCTTTTCTTTTACAGGAGATGGCGCTGGAGACTTACCAGAGGGCTCTGAAAGTGGAAGAGGAAATGAAAGGTGTGTCGGAGGACAGGACGAGTCAGTCATGTGACATGTGCTTCTGTTCGGCCACACAGCGCTAAACAGAATCCGAATCTCAGCAAGAAGGCAAGATGGGTGCAGCCACCGGGCTACTGTAGGGTGATCTGCACGAACATGGAGTGAAAAGTAGATGCCCTTGCAAAGCAGCACAGTTTTGGATGGGTGTGTGTAACCAAAGTTTTGAGCGCAGATGATCGTTTTGTCCACTTCAGAGTTGTGACGGGATTGTAACACCCCCGTGGCATCGGCCGGCCTTCTTAATGCATGCTGTATAGTACGAGTATGACCTGCCGCGTGTCTTTCACAGTCCTGAGTGGATCAGATCGGGAGGAGATAAAAATTGAATTTTGCATCCGATGGCCCCCTTGGCTTCTCTCGAAGACTAGATCCAACGTTGGTGAATGACGAAGGATCCCACGAGGCTGCACAGTTCTGGGTATTCTTCAATCTTTATTGTACCCTAAACCCCGGGGTAATGTTCGGAAGGAGCTCTTCACTGGGAGTTTTATTGATGCAGAGAAGATCGTCGTCGCTCATGAGGCGCTGTCGATGCTCGTGGCGAGTTGTTCAACTTCTGCGCTGTCCTTTGGCGGTGTTTAGGTACTGGAAGAATTGGACAAGATCTTGGAAACCAAGGTCACAAGCTCGGCCCAGTCCTTTATGTTGCACAAGTATGCAAGGGCTCGAAAGACCAGCAGATATCACGCACATTCTAATGTCCCATGTAAGATGCGACCTTCTGAAGCCATTGCTTGAGAAGAAAGATCTTTGTGTTTTCGCAAAGACTGCAATCGTCCACGGCACGGTTCAAATGGATCGGGTGTGCAGGTCAAGGTGCTGGAAGAGCGAGCACATACGTTCACTGACTACGAGGCTATGCTGTTTTAACAGGTTCTCTGCTATCTGCAAGGGTGCAAATTTCTGTATGTGCTGGCAGGGCTTGCTCGGTGCAGCCCCTCAAGTTCAAACTGAGGCAGAAGCCAGTGTCTGTTATTTGTCAGTGGAAACACAGCCGTATGCCCACAGATAGACACAGCCGATATATATATATATATATGTATGTATGTATGTATGTATGTATGTATGTATGTATATATATATAGTATATATATATAGTATATATATATACACATATATATATATGTGTGTGTGTGTGTTTGTGCTTGTTTGTTTGTTTTTTTCTTGCGTGTATGTGTTTGTGCTTGATACATTTTGCAAAGCACGAGGAGGAAAGCAATGGACACTTCCAGTTCGTCGAGGTGGCAAAGACGCGGCTTGAAGCCTACGTTCTGACATGTTGCTGAGCGTGAGGGTACTTGTAGTCTGTTTTTTCTGCTCGCTTTCTTGTTCCGCTGACTTTGAGGAAAGTTTTCGATGACAAGCTCAAGCTTTGGGAGGCTCGCAGGCCTGGAAAGAGCAATCATCACGCGACTGGCTTCCCCTTGTGAAGGTTACCGCCCAGTGGCAAGAGATGTCCCACAACTGGAACGTGTCTGAGTTTGTCAAGGTGGGTGGAACGGAACACGCTTGAGGCACAGGGACATCCCCAGCTGCAGGTGGATGTCGAAGCTATGAACAAGCAAGTAATGGCATCTTACAAGACGGCAAATGGCTTGACGAAGTCCTTGGAGGGCGATGAGGTGCATCCGGTGGCATTCGACAGCACGGAGTCTTTCGATTTCCTTGCAACTCTTGAGGTGGCTGTCCGAGTCAAAGGGATGATCGAGGAATGGTCGGAGCCTCAGGACAATATCTGGAATTCACGGCTTTCATGCAGTCGTTCCAATTCGCCATGCTCCGTTGCGGAAAGCTGCCAAGTTACACTGACAAGTGGAATGACCGGACTGGCATTCGTACATCTTTCTGAGTCTAAGCTCATGTGATCTAGGCCATCTAGCTTCCATATCAAGGCGTGAGCGCATGCCCTGCATCCTGGATCTTGGAAACCCGGCTCTCCGTCCTCGGTGCCCTGAGCTGCACTATTCCAAACAGTGGCTTGCGCATGTCGAAGCAAGTGCGTGCATTTGACTGAGGCATTGGGAGAAGATCTTCAAGAAGCTGAGCACCCAGGGAACGTGGGCAGTTCTTTGACTTGCCAGCTATTGCCACAAGTCGGCTTCCATGCGTGGGCTCAGGATCAATCTGGCGTACAAGGGTCCAACATCGGCGAGCAGCATCAGCTGCCTGTCCTTGTTCGGTAATGTTGGCTTCTTGCTTCGTGGCACTGCCTCGTGCCAAAGAGATGTCGACTAAGCACCGAGGTTTGACACAGCTTGAGGGCAACGGGGTCTTCGACCACCGCGAGTATGTGTCCGAAGTTTCTGCAAATGCCAGCGGCGAGTTTGCTCTGGAACAGTCTTTGGAGCAGGCGGGGGTGTGCTCGGGTTCCGGGACCTGTGCTCGCGCTTAAGTGTTGCTGCCACGGACCAGGCCTTTAGGGCAGATTTTGACAGTAGGAGAGTTGTTATGGCGGAGACATAAGCAAATCACCATGCACTTCGTCATCTGTGGCATTTGCAAGCCCTTGCATTCCAGTCTGCTGCCAGAGCTGGCCAGAGCTGCTGGCGCTGAAAAATACAACGGAGTGTGATTGGTTCATTGGCTGGCTCTCAGGTGATAGCTGCCTGGGCAGATCTGGAATTGCCGATCATGAACCACAGGAACCAGAAGGTGCCTGAAGCCAAAGAGGGGATCTCCAGATCGGGGGGACGACCGAAGGTTCAGCAGCCAAAGCCTGTTCCAGGACTTGTGGATTCTGGGTGACCTCCAAGATGTCATCACTCTCTGCGAGGAGGGCAGAGAGTGGGGCAAGAAAAGCGGGTGCGAGCGAGTGATTGTCTGTGCTCCCCGGTGACTTCTTCATGTCTCTCTTGTGTCGTCCTTTTGCATCTCCAGTTTTAGAATGACATTTGCTTGAGGATCACAGCGTGACCATCGCAACGATGATGGGGAGCCGCTTCATTCATGGCCAGGAGCTTGTTGGAGCTGCTTCCTCCAAATGGATAGCTTCCTGCATGTTGCGCAGAGTTTGCACGAAACAGGGACGGGGCGAGAACTTGGAATTTGCTCGGGCTGGATTGAGGACCTCACCTATCTGCCTGAAGCGGGGTAAATACCTAGGACCTAGCAGTCTGAGGCATACGCGAGAAGGTGGAGATCTGGGAGAAGAGAATAAACCAGGTCAGAGGGTTGCCATGCGATTGACGTCTTAGTTTGGATCTCAATGTCTGGCAGAGGCGGCGGATGTCATCGATGAGTGGTACACGGTCCAGAGAGCGTGGATGTATCTGGAGAACATCTTCTCGGCAGAGGAGTTTTGCAGCAGACATCGTGCACCATGTCTATAGTCTTGTTCTGTCGTGCTGCTTCAGCCGGCAGTCTCCTACGAATTTGCAGGACATCCAGAGGCAGCTGCCACAGGAAGCAGCAAAGTTCAAGCAGGCAAAGCGGCATAAGTGCAGTGAGCTGAGGACTCATGCTGAATGTGTCGTGTCTGGCTCGTGCAACGCATTAGAGTTATCTGCCTGTGCCAAACGACTCTGTGCATGATTCCTAAGAAGCAAGAAGGCTCGTCACAGTGCTGACGTTACCGATGGTGCCCAGAAACAAGTTGTCATGTTGAAAGATCATCATTCTGTTCGAGCAGGTTGACAAGTTCTGGAAGGACTTGTTCCGCAAGGCTTGCGATCTACGCAACTGGGACTACATAGGAGATGTTCACAGCAGCCTCAGCCACAAAAGGTGCGCCAGAAGGACAAGCTCTGCATGGATGCGTTCCACATTCCCGGGGTGATCCATGCATGTTTCGCACGCAAACAGCCGGAAGTCCCTGAATCGATGCAAAATTGCCCTCTTACAGATTCTTGAGCGCCTCAAGTGGGCCAACGACACCTTGGACCATGCTGGGGCCTCGGAAGGACAAACTGACATTCACCCGGAAGCGAAACCCTCCGGTATGTTCCCGCACATAAGAACCCCTTGTGCCCATGTTCGCAGTTTGTTGTTGAAGAATCCCAGGTCCAAAAGCAACTGGAGGCGTATTTGGAGACAAAGCGTGCGGCCTTCCCCAGGCGTCACCACCACACCACTACTACAGCGGGTTGCGTTTTGAAGCTGAGTATCTCTGAGTCCACAAGGTTCTACTTTCTTTCCAATGATGAGTTGCTCAGCATCCTTTCGCAGACGCAAACAACTCAGCGTTTCCAAGATTTGCAGCGCAAATCAGCCACCAATGGTGACCTAAGGCGGAATCCACATGCTGTCCAAGAGCACATGTGTAACTTTGGCTTTTGCTATGCTTTGTGAGTTGCGCTTGTCGAGCTCGCTGCTGCAGTGTTTTGGCATTCTCAGGCAAGTGCTTTGACTCCATCAATCGCGTGGTGTTCTCGGAGGCCAACTGCTCAAAAGTAGGAATCCTTTTGCTGTGACAAAAAGATCAGCTGCGCCAGACGGCTCCTGGTGAAATTCTCGGTATGAGCGACATGATCAAGGAATATGTCGGGCCCTGAAAGTCTTTGACACGTGTTGCGACATCGTCACTCATCGGCAAGGGCAATGCCGAAGTTTGTCACTAAGAGCATGGCTCAAAGCCGGTTGACAAGTGCGATGGGCTTGATGTGCAATCGCATCTTCGAATCATTCGGCACTTGCAGAACAGAGTCCGAGGAGGTAATAATGTAATATGTATGGAAACATATCAGGCAAGATGTGCAATGGAATGCCGATGAACGTAATCGAGTAAACTTCTGTATGACATCTTTTGACGGCCAAGTTGCAAGTAGGCCGGGTTTTCATCTGAAACCTTTTTGCTGTGCTTGCCTATACACACAGATCTCAAGAGCATGGCCGCCCGGAGAAGTGCTTACATAACCTTTGAAGGCGGCCCTCTTCTTGATGGTGGGCTCACGAGCGCAGCCTTTCCTCCAATCAGAGAGGATCAGGTGTGAAGACCCCCATGGAAAGGCGTATACATGTAAAGATTGTAGCCAATATACGCTACATATGACCTAATCAGTATTGTTAATGTTTGAAGGTTTGCCCGTTCTCAGGTCCCATTCGTGCAGCCAGTTGTGACCGGTCCTATCGTTGAGAAGTGGCTCAGTGACATCGAGGCCGCGCTCAGTTCCCTTGCATTGTGTGTGTGTGTGTGGGGCGTTGTTGCATATATGACAGACAGATTACGTGCATAGATAGATGAAACGTGTTCCCTAATTGTCGGTCTGGTGGGTTAGGAATTACAGTTTTCACGATCGTAAGAACAGCCATGATGTATCTGATCCTGGCCAGTTTGGCGATCAGCCGATCGGTCCGGATTCTCGATCGTCGGCGTGGGGAAGCTAGATCCCTCGACTGTGCAGCTATGTGTTTCTCCGGCCTCAGGTGCCCCAGGAGTTTGAGGGCCTGGGAATGTCTCATCTGATTTTCGATCAGGCAATGCGGTGCGGTCGCCAGCATTTCTGGTGCACCCCCTCGGTGATCGAGGTGTCTGTTCGAAGTGTGAAGCTCCGAAATGTTTTTATTTTGATGCCGATTTGTGGCCGACTCCCGCGTTGCGGTCGCACGAAAAAGGGCGAGTGCGATCGCCGGCCGTTCAGCGAGTTTCGAGCGGTGTAGGTTCCCTAATTGTCGGTCGTAAAAACACCCATGATGTAACTGATCCGGGGCTATTTTGGCGATCAGCCGATTGGTCCGGATTTTCGATCCCACCCACCGCACCCTTAGTGAGCCTTTAGGGATCGTATCCTCTTCTCTGCCCCCGCCCTGCCACCCCGCCCCCCCGCCCCCTGTGGCTGGGGCGCGTGGTGGTACCCTACCCCCCTGCATCCCACAGCCGCCCCTGTGGTTTCGTTGTTGTGGTGGGCCCTGCACCCCCCTTAGCTGAGGCTTTGGTTGGCCTGAATTGGAGTACGCAACACGTGTAACACAAGGACCTGTTGTCACGATGTGTGAGTCAAGAACTGTTACGTGGCACTTTAAGAGCACTTGTTCTGATCTTCTCCACCACCATCCATGTCTACAGTTGCATCTACTATGGTCGTGCGGCCCGCATCCGCCGTTCTTGAAGTTCTTGTGTGTTACTCTTTATCTTCCTTCTTGCTGTGGCACCTGTGGTACTGATCACGATGACGTGCTGCTCTAGACGGCGACACGAGTCGACCATCACATCATCGTTGACATCATGCTCAACATCATCATGGTCGTCGTCATCTTGCCACCACCACCATCGCCATACAACCCTCACAATTAATCATTGTACTTCATGTCTTATGCGGGGAACTACTGCGAAGATTGCCGCTTTCCGCGCAGGGCAGGGGTGGGGTACTCCAGCAGCAGCGGTGGGGGCGGGGCAACCCCCAACCGAGCAGGGGCGGGGTACCATGGGGGGATACCATGCGGGGTTTGTGGGGGCCTGGGAGCCGAGAGCATATATATAATATATATATATATATATTATATATACATATACATATACATATACATATACATATACATATACATATACATATACATATACATATACATATACATAAACACATACACATACACATACACTTACACACACAGATACACATACAGATACACATACATATACACATACATACACACATACACACACGTACACACATACACACATACACACATACACACATACACGCATACACACATACACAAATACACACANNATACATATACATACATACGTACATACCTTTTTTTTTACGGCGGGAGTTTCGGCACTTCGGTGCTGGCCCCTGGGCCCTAAAGACTGCCAGACTAACAGCCAATGGACTGGGGAGTTCAGTCGGTTGACTGTGCAGACACCAAACCCAGGATTCTGAATCCACAGGCTGATGTGTTGTTCTGCCATTGAGTCAGACGCCGTCGTAGGGTTTTTAGCCCTGGGCCCGGAACGCGTGACCCAATCAATTCAAAGCCTCCAGCCGACTACCCGGAAGGAACACCAAAGCCTGCCCCTCGCACAGATTGAAGCTTCAGTATATAATTACTACGACGATTACTGTTGTTGATGTTGTCGCCATTGTTACTGTGACTAGTTATAATGCTTGCTGCTGCTAGTATTACTGCTAGTACCGCTATGACTAGTGTTACTGTTCCAATCCTCGCAGGCCATCACAGTGGCCGCGCAGCGCCTCGGGCATCCCGAAGATGTCACGCGGCTGGCGGCGCAGGTCTGTACCTGAAGCCGTGGACATTTCAATCCTATCAATCTATCAAATGAACAAGCCATGAATTGAGACCAGTGTCGCTTAAAGTGAATTAGAATGTGAAGTATTAACCAATATCAAAAGGTTCACTTCATTCAGAACCCCCTCTCCCTGCAAGGATGCAGGCCCCGCTCCCGAGTGGCGGAGACCTCTAAAGATTACTGCTTTGGCTTGGGTGCCGAACAGTTTGAAGGTTTGGGCCGTCTCACATTTTAGAGTTGTGGTCCACATAACTATCAACGATTGCAGCATGAAGAGAAACCCCCAACGATCCCCTAGTGCTACTCGTAGCATATACTTTTTCTATACATGCAGATAAATAAATCGTCAATCCATCAAAGAGTTAATTTTGGCTACTTGCCTGCCTACCTACCTACTTNNACCTACCTACACCTACCTACACCTACCTACCTACCTACCTGCCTGCCTGCCTACCTACCTACTTACCTGCCTACCTACCTCCTTACCCACCTACCTACCTACCTACCTACCCACCTACCCACCTACCCCCCCACCTACCCACATGCATACCTTTTTATATGCAGAATATTTATTTGTATTTATAATACTCATGCATCTGTATTCTGATACTTATTCATGTACATACATATATATATATGTATATCTATATACATACATATATACGTATAGATGTACATACACAGTTTTGTGTGTATACATGTATAGATCTATCTATCTATCTATCTACCTATCTATGTATCTATCCATCTATCTATCTATCTCTTTGTCTGTCTGTCTGTCTCTCTGTCTGTCTGTCTATCTATCTAGCTAGCTATCTATCTATCTATCTATCTATCTCTCTCTATATATATGTATACTATGTGTGTATATATATATATGTGTATAAAACCTTAAGTCGTAAAGCAGTCGATCCAAACCTCCCCCGTGCATAGACGGCCCTGGAGCAGCTGGGCGGCGTCTCCGGGAACCGGAAGTCGGGGTCGGAGGCCGTTTAGGGGTTTAGGGATTTAGGGTTTAGGGTGTAGGGTTTAGGGGTTTAGGGTGTAGGGGTTTAGGGTTTAGGGATTTAGGGTTTAGGGTGTAGGGTTTAGGGTTTCGAGTAGCCGGGTTTGGGGTGTAGGGTTTAGGGTGTGGGGTTTAGGGTTCAGGGGTTTAGGGTTTAGGGGTTTGGGGTTTATTAGGGTTTAGGGTTTAGGGTTTCGAGTAGCCGGGTTTGGGGACAGGTGTTTGTAGAGTTCAGGGACTTGGATTAGTGCTTAGGGTTTGTGTGGAGGTATCAATGCATACCGCCATCATCATAATCATCAGTGTCATTTTCATCAGCGTCGCCGTCGCTGTCATTGCTGTCCTTCCTGTGCTTTGCCTCCTCCTCCTGCTCCTCCTGCACTTGTACAGCACTCGTGATCTAGGCCAAACAAAAGCATTCACTGCGAAAGCTATCCTTGGCCCCGCGGCCCAACCATAAGCCCTAAAGTCTAAAGTCCTCAACGCCAGGCCTCATAGTCCTCCCTACTGCGTGACGCCAAAGTAATCACTTAGGGCTCGTCCTAGCTAGGTGGGAGGCCAAAAATTTAGTATACAACCCTCTGACGTCCTCGCAAAAGATATGTCAGCCCTATTTGTTTGCTGACCCTATACAGCCCTTCCAAGGCACCTTCCCCTAAACCCAAAATGCTACAACTCACGTGATCCTTCGACAGTACACTCGGAGTTACCCTCCAATGCGGGCTCGCCTTTGCTAAGTATAGGAGGTGAAACAATTCAGAACCGTACCGGAAGGCGAGTGGCAACCTCTACGAGGCTGCCCGAGCGGCCGCTGAGGCCCTTAGCAGCGAGGAGCCAGCGATTCGCCAGGGAGCTCAACGGCGCCTTGCTGGAGATTTCTTTGAGTTTTCTTTGCAGGTAGGTTTTTTGGGGGATGGTCCTTGGAGGGGCTTTTTTCCAACTGTACAGGCGGAGGAGTTGTTTGGGGGGAGGGGGTGAACGGAGTTGTTTTTGGGGGAGGGGGTGAACGGGTTTCATGCATCGCTTATTCCCCCGAACCTGTTTTGATTCAGGTTTCGCGGAACATTGCTCTGTCAAGTTCTGGTTTTGCTGATTCCTTGCCGTGAAGAAAATTAGCAACATGTCGAGGCCCAGCGCACGTTGGCGAGGGTACCTAGTTCACCCCGGCAGATATGTGCAGGGTTCGAGTCTTGTAGTAGTTCCACCTGGCTCCAGTGGAACGTGCTTTAATGTAAACCTTGCCCCCAATAACCAAAGCCTTGAAAAGCGCGTGTTGGCGACACGTAGGTTTATGGCATGAAGCCATTGACCATAACATGGTTGTCCGAGTTGTGAGAGTATACACCCTCAACAATCCCTGCGGTGCAACTTTGTCAACTGGGCGGGTTGGAAAAACCCTCGACAACTTGGGAAGCCAACTGCAAGGATCCTGGTGAATCTCGCCGGGGAAGGGCCCACGCAGAGATACGCAGCTGCAGCTTTCGCTGTGAGTGGCCTGAAGAGTGAGGTGGCCCCTTTCGTTTGGGCGTGTGCCGTGGACTTCTTGCAAGCATTTCTGGGTACCGTAGTATAGTCCCCAGTATGCCGTAATTATAGAGCTTGACCATCATGAATCTCCAACACCCAACGTTACCGGACAGGTGGTATCAGGCTTTAGTGGACTTAAGCGAAACATGTAAAGCGAATCATGAACTCCTTACTAAGGGATCCTTGAACAGCTAGAGTTAATGTACATGTCTCTTTTGTCATGTTCAGATTGCTGCCATATTGCCACGAGGGCCCCGGAAAGGGACCATAGTTGATTTGGAGCACAAGCCCTTCCTCTCAGCTCAAGCCAAGACAACCCTGACAGAATCCCGACGTGCTGGCCGATGCTGCAGACACCTTTGTGCGTCTGGGTGCAGAAGGGGATCCGGATGTGTTGGAAGCGGCCACTGAGCAGCATGGGAGGCTGCCAGCGACATGTCAAGTTTCCGGGCAGCTTGAGCGATGTATGGCAAGTACAGGCAATCAATCAGTACAGCTTTCCAGTTTGTCGCTGGTGGCTTTGCGGGGGAGGTTCTACACTGTCCTGCGCCGTATGCTTTAAAGCCCGACAGATGGTCTGGCAACCCCCTTTCCACGCTGCTCAAGCCTAAGACTCGAAGCCCAACTTCATCGCTGCATCTTGAGCCACTGCCTTTTGCTCCCAGGTTGGTGCCACACTGACTTCTGGTTCCGCGCAATCGAAAGAAGTGGCTTGACCAAAGAGAAAAAGCCTTTGCTTGCCACGTTCGGGGTTCAGATGATCGGCACGTCAGGACCTCAGTCTGGGCTTAGAAACGCAGAAGCAGTGACGCAGAGACCCAGATGGTGTGAAAAAGGCAGCAATATAATATATCCCATGTTTAACATGCAGCCCCAGAAGAAAGTGTCAGTATACTCCGCTCATGCTGCTATCCCAAGCTTACGCAATTTGAGGTGGCACTGAAGATACTCGCGGCCCTCTCACCGCCTGGGTCGCTCAGCGATGCTGTGCCCCTTGGACGTTCAAAGCATCCCCGAACAGCCACGAGAAGGTTGAATTATTGTGGAGCCCGGGAGAGAAGCTGTGATCAGCCTTAGATTGACAGGGCATGGAGAGGTATGTCTGTCGTTGAGGGCGAAGGGACCTGCATGAGAGCTCGGATTGATCTGCATACCTGCTTGTGCGGGCCTACTCTGCTGGAAACCGTAGGCTCTACTTTCGCACTCTAGCCTACATTCCAAGACACCAGAACGGCGACCATGGCCAAAGCCCTACAACCTCCCTTGCAGTCCTGGCGAAAAGGGGAAGTTCATGAGATGCATGTGCCCTACTAGGATATCTCAGGGTCACTGGAGTCCCCCGAGGCTTCTGAGCTTCGTTTCTGGGTATAGCATAGTATATAGCATATAGTATATAGTATACAGTGTATAGTAGATTGTATAGCATACAGTGTAGAACAGTTTCTGGTATATAGCACAGTATAGAGTTTCGTATATAGTACAGTATATAGTACAGTATATAGTGTAGTATGTAAGTATAGTGTATAGTATGATAGATATTAGAGTACATCCTCGCGCTAAGCTCTAACCGCATGCCTTCTAAGCCTTGGTCCGGTGCCTTGCCGAGGTCGGTTGAGCAAGGAGAGGAGGGAGGCTTGCGCCTGAGGTGGCCCTGCCTTGGAAGACCGCTGAGGGGCTTATATATACATATATATATGTATATATATATATATGTTTATGTGTGTGTGTATATATATTATACATACATACATACAGATACAGATACAGATACAGATACAGATACAGATACATAGACATAGACATATACATATACATACACATATATATATATACATATACATATATATATATACACATACACATATACACATACCTATACACATACATATATGTACAGAAACATGTACACATGTACATCTTACATATTACATATTACATATTACATAGTACATGCTACACATTACACATTACGCATTACACATTACGCATGACACATTACATATTACATATTACAAATTACATATTACATATGACATATTCCATAATACGTATACGTATACGTATGCGTATACATATACAGATACATACACACACACACACGCACATAAACATATACATAAACATATACATAGACGCAAACATATATATATATACATATGGATATACAAAAATTGATACACATACATGTACATATACATGTATACATATGTATATATATATATATGTATATATATATATACCAGTTTACACGATCGCCGCTCGGAGCTCGTTGAACAACCAACGATCGCACACAAACCTCTTTGTGCGACTGCAACGTAGGAATCGGCCACAGATCAAGACTAGAACATCTCCGATCTTCACTACTCCGAACGGATGCTCCGATCACCGGAGGAGCGCACCAATCGCTGGCGATGGCTTTGCATTCATCCGAACGAACACCACGGAAGAGATATTCCCATTCCCAGGCCCTCAAACTCCTTTGGGAGTATCAGAGACGACCGTGATCCACCCACAACTAAGACCTGTAGCGACACCACCACGAGAGGGGTTGTCATTTCATTCGCATTCATTCTCATGCTGTAGTTGAGTCGACTATTCAGCGGGCGCTACGTAACCATACCGCCAGGTGGGTGTGATAACGGCCTTTCGGCAGACATATCATGCCAATTCCACCATCCCGACTGGCAGCTGCATGTTACAGCTAGAACACGTGAAAGCAGGCTAACTCTGTCTAGAGACGCCCTTCTTTTCAGCCTGTGAGGCCTACTCAAGGTGGCCTGCTTTTTGTGCCTTGGCGATTCTCTGTCGACAAAGGCAAGTTTTCTCAGAAGGTGCTGTGGCAACTACAAGTCCTGCCGTAAGGTCTGGTTTCCCTGATGGCACCATTATGGCCAACACTTTGTACAGCGCGGTGTCAGCAGGACAATGTGCCAGTGTGCTGCTGGTGGTAGCTACGCGCCCAAAGCGTGTGAGTCATTGGAGCCTTTGATATGGTTACCTCTTGCTTGTCGGTTTGGTCCTCGAAAACATGGGTGTTGCCACATCTGTTTGATTTCTTTGCGAACGGGCTGTGGCTCTGGGTTAGTAAGAACTTTGTTGCAGCTGCATTTGACGGGCTGGCCCTTTGGGGCTTGCGTGGGCCCTTTTTCAAAAAGAAGTCGGATGGACGTGCTCTTTGCCTGTGCTTCGTTCGGGCGCCGACTGTCGGCCCTTCAGAGTGGGGTGCTGCCTGACGGCCCTGTTTGACGTGTACAGATTGCTTCAATGCGTTTGCTGGTCACGCGCGGGTGCCACAGGAGAGCTCCGTCGGCACGAGCCCTGGCACGCAGAGGAGGCCCCCGTTGCTCTTGGTCCCGGCATGCCTCGTACCAGGTGCAAGGTTGTGCTCGGGATACCCCGTGGCGGCAGCCGGTGCAAGAGATGCACCCTTGCTTGCAGTCCGTTGGGGCCGATGAGAGAGCTCCGTCGGCACAGCCCCTTGTAGGCAGAGGAGGCCTCCGTTGCTCGGCCGATGAGAGCTCCGTCGGCACGGCTGTTGTGGGCAGAGGACACGCCAGCCATCAAATAGCCTAGAAGCTGCGCGCACGGTAAGTTGATGACCCCAAGACTTGGGACCGAGGCGAGCTGAAACATCGTAAGAGGCGCAGTATTCTGCTCGCCAAACTCCATACAAATCTTCACAGACAGAAGCCTGCTATTCCCTCCAGCAATCTCCGAAGGCAGGGCAATGTAAACCAAACTGTGAATCGAAAAGGAACACGGATGCCAGGCCAAGCATGGCAATATGACAGGAGCAAAAGCTCTCCACTGCCGAAGGCTACTGCAGGGGCTTGCCGCAACGTGCAACTCGCGTCTTCTTCCCCGAAAGCAGCAGGCCTGCACGCCCACGACCAACTTAGTGACTAGATGGCTCGCGTGGAGGCAGGAACGAACAAGCCTTTGAATACGTCGTCACACACTCAAAGATCCATACCGTCCATACCATGCAGCTACGTTGGACCGTTGGACAAGCATCAATAAACAAGTCAACGTCAACGTCTTGCTAAGTCCGTACCTTCTGTCCTTGCGCGAGGGCGCCGAAAGCCGGCTTCCCTGGGAGAAAACATGTGCCATGCAAAAATTGGCAAAAGCCAAGAAAACCATGTGTGAAAAACCAAGCATGCCAGAATTCATGAACATGATGCAGCAACGGCCATGGCAAGGGAAACTACAACGCACCCCTAAGTTTGAGCCGCTCGTGGTGCTTAGAGGGGTTTCTAACAAACAGTCGAGTCGACTTTATCGCAGGCGCTACGTCATCATACCACCCTGTAGCCAGGAACGAAACAGGGCCGTCAAGTGGCACCCGACTCTGAAGGGCCGACAGTCGGCGCCCGAACGAAGCACAGGCAAAGAGCACGACTGGACCATCCGACTTCCTTGCAAAGGGGTGCCCACGCAAGCCCCAAGGGCCAGACCGTCATGCTCATTCTTTGTGCTGGCTTCACGTCGGCACGAACCCCTTGCGCGCAGAGGAAGTCCTCGTTGCTCTTAATCTAGGCATTCCTTGCGCCAAGTCCAAGGAAAGCTCCACTTCTTACAACCCTCAAGGGGGCGTAGGAAGAGCGCTGTCGGTACGACCTCCTGCCTGCAGAGGAGGCCCCCGTCGTTGTTGTTCTGGGCATACCCCATATCTGCAGGCGGTAAAGCACCATAGATGCAAGAGCTCCGTCGGCACGGCCCATGTAGGCAGAGGATGCCCCCGTTGCTCTGTTGAAGTGGGGCTCACTAAGTGCACGTGATCATCCAGGCTGGCATGATGTCCGGTTTGGAGATCGCGCTGCCGGCCTCTTTCCCGCCAATGGGAAGCAGTGTGCTGGTAACATCGATGATCGGTCCTCCCTCTGTGGGGGGCCCAGAGGGAACCTTCACGCCAGCCTCAAATAGCCGAAAAGCTGCGCACAAAGTAAACTGATGACGCCCGGACTTGGGACCGGGGCGAGCTGAAACATCGTAAGAGGTGCAGTATTCTCCCTCACCAAACTCCATAGGAGTCTTTTCAGAAAA